TACATATGCTCAGGGACATGCTCAGTAATGCAAAATATGAATTTCTCTACCATAATGCATTGTACATATGCTCAGTGACATGCTCAGTAATGCAAAATATGAATTTCTCTCCCATAATGCATTGTGCCTATGCTCAGTGACATGCTCAGTAATGCAAAATATGAATTTATCTCCCATAATGCATTGTGCCTATGCTCAGGGACATGCTCAGTAATGCAAAATATGAATTTCTCTCCCATAATGCATTTCACATATGCTCAGGGACATGCTCAGTGATGAAAAATATGAATTTATCTCCCATAATGCATTTCACATATGCTCAGTGACATGCTCAGTAATGCAAAATATGAATTTCTCTCCAATAATGCATTGTGCCCATGCTCAGTGACATGCTCAGTAATGCAAAATATGAATTTCTCTCCCATAATGCATTGTACATATGCTCAGTGACATGCTCAGTATTGCAAAATATGAATTTCTCTCCCATAATGCATTGTACATATGCTCAGTGACATGCTCAGTAATGCAAAATATGAATTTCTCTACCATAATGCATTGCACATATGCTCAGTAGTGCAAAATATAAATTTCTCTACCATAATGCATTGTACATATGCTCAGTGACATGCTCAGTAATGCAAAATATAAATTTCTCTACCATAATGCATTGTACATATGCTCAGTGACATGCTCAGTAGTGCAAAATATAAATTTCTCTACCATAATGCATTGTACATATGCTCAGTGACATGCTCAGTAGTGCAAAATATGAATTTCTCTCCCATAATGCATTGTACATATGCTCAGTGACATGCTCAGTATTGCAAAATATGAATTTCTCTCCCATAATGCATTGTACATATGCTCAGTGACATGCTCAGTAATGCAAAATATGAATTTCTCTACCATAATGCATTGCACATATGCTCAGTAGTGCAAAATATAAATTTCTCTACCATAATGCATTGTACATATGCTCAGTGACATGCTCAGTAATGCAAAATATAAAATTCTCTACCATAATGCATTGCACATATGCTCAGTGACATGCTCAGTAGTGCAAAATATAAATTTCTCTACCATAATGCATTTCACATATGCTCAGTGACATGCTCAGTAATGCAAAATATGAATTTCTCTCCAATAATGCATTGTGCC